ATAATACTGTTGGCAGAATAATTTATAACCAAATGTATTTATAAATGAACAAAATTGACCATCAGACTAAAAATTACTTTGTCCATTTAAAGAGGCATTTTTTCAATTAAGTAACGAGAGTTAGATTTCTCATAATTTAGCAAAATATAATATATATTCACAACTAACTATTCCGTGATATGGAGCAAAATAACACGAAATACTTTTCATTCACGTTGGACATGGTGTGAAATATTTTCAGTTAGACGTGGTCAATTGATTTAGACAGTCTACTACTATCTGCGAGAAACATCTTGAGATGTACGTTGTATTTACGAGAGCGCGAATTGCAGGCGTCCCTCCTGTGTAATGTTTTATACTAATTCAACCAGAAAATCAGCAACCTACTGTGGACATAATAAATGAAAATCCTCGACCAAACGATCAAGAGCCTTCCGATATGAGCAATGAAAAGGAAAATTCTGATAATAAAAGACTGCATCTTTACTTAACGCAAAATCAAACGAAATTCGTAATACAGCTAAAGTATCACTTGATAAACAAGCCGTAAAAAAGTTGACGCGTTCAAATGAAAATTTCCTATTGCAGAAATAGGCCAAAGCGTTCGAGTAAGGATACCAGATGTAGATCGAGTCAAGAGGGTAGTGGTAATATAATTGCTATTATTATATCTGTCGAAAAAGAAAAACCTTAGAAACTTGCAACTAAACACGGTATTTTAAACCAACAATACTCCTGAAATGAGTTTACTGTTTGTGAACAAAAGTTCATTTCGATCGACGATGTTCAAGTGATTGATATTACTCTTCGAGAATGTGCTCGAAGAGACTATCATTTTGATGGACAAGGCTTCCATTATTGTAACTGTAGTGGTGACTGCAATTCAAATCGTTGTAAATGCAAGAAAAAAACATTATTTGCAATTCCAAATGTCACAAAAGCTCATCTTGCATGAATAAATAATTCTAAACTTAATAACTTTCTTACACAGTCCTTCATTATTAGATATTTCTGTTGATTTTTCAGTTTCCTAAATTTTTAAACTATTGTTTTTAAGTAATATTTTTATCAAAATAAAAGTAGGTAACTTTTAAGTTGTTACATTTTTAAGTGTTTATTTTTTAACTACTATATTCAATAGTTTATTTTTTGTTGACTTTTCATGTATATTTTGTATGTTTAATTTCATTTAATAAACAAAAACATTACAGTTACCTGTTTTATTACTTTGCCCAAGATAGGGTGGGCATTATTCATAATGGCCGGGAAAAGTCATTAATCATGCTGTTTTAATCACATTGTCCAGTTGCCCATAATATATATATATATATATATATATATATATATATATATATATATATATATATATATATATATATATATATCGAAATATTTCAAATAAAACTCTCAGGAGCTGTCTACACAAATGCTGTTAATGAAAACACAACCTATCACTTTCGAGAGTGAATATTAAATGTGTTCCGAAAAGTCATCGAATTTGTTAAATCGAAATACCATATAATTGTTTCATTCTTATTCACGTGTCCAGATTAAGTCCAACAACGAACGCTGATGATCTGAAAACATTTATTGCTTCAAGAATACCTGGAGTTACATGTGAAAAACTGATCTCTAGGAATCCTGATACCTATTCCTCATTTAAGATAACGTTGCCATTAGAGTCATTAGAACAGGTCACGAACCCAACATTCTGGCCTGAGGGCGCTGCTGTGAGGCGTTTTTTTGTGAAACGCCGTCCGAGAGCCATTCAATCTTAGGCTCAGATACAATATCAAGTTTATCGTGTTTTTATCAGAATGTCAGAGGCCTTAACTCCAAGACACATCAATTTTTCCAATCTATTTGTGCGTGTGATTATGAGATTATTTGTTTAAGTGAAACGTGGTTGAAGGTTAGCGTATACAATTCCGAACTATTTACGGACAATTATTGTGTTTATAGATGTGATAGAAATCTTCTATTTTGTCAAGCGTCTACTGGAGGAGGAGTACTATTAGCAGCTGATAGCAAATATCAAACAGAACCTTTAGATCTGTCACAGGTACTGAACTTAGTCCCAACCATCGATGTGGTGGGTTATAAAATATATGTCGACCAGTTGTTAATCTCTGTGTTTGTTATATACATATCTCCCGCCACAAGTAACGACAATTTCGATCTGTTTTTTGATGCTCTGACCTCTATGAGTTTTATAGTCGATACCAATGGTATTTCAATTGGTGATTTCAATTCTCCGCTGTTTGCTGGAGAAAGTTCCACTTAGAGATCATAGAGCCCTCACACTGTCAGCGTTCTCTCAAATTATGGAACTCAGACAAACCAACAACATTCTCAATTGTAATAATAGAATATTGGACCTGTTACTATCTAACCTGCGGTTATCTACACCTGAGGAGTCATCGGGCCTAGTTGATATCGATCCCAATCATCCACCTTTCTGCCTGCATTTTGATGGACGCTCCTCTAAGCAAAATAATTTTGGAGCAATTTTTTCACCTAAACAATTCAACTTTAGAAAGGCAGATTATAATACGATGTATTTGATGATGTGTGGTGTGGACCGGTCTAATTATGGAACTTGATGATTCAAATGAAGCTTGTAATATGCTGTATGAAATCCTCGAGGATATTTTCAGATCAACTGTTCCTTTCAAGAAAGGCAGGACTCGGAAATTTCCACATTGGTATACATCTGAACTCATAAAGTTGATACGTATGACAGAAGCTGCTTATCGTAACTACAAAAAATTCAAGAGTCCTTGTTACGCCAGATATTATAGTTCTCTTAGAGCCATGGTGAAATCAGATATTGGTTCACTTTACAAAGCGTATATTGCTACTTCAGAGCACTTCATCAATGAAGATCCTAGTAGGTTCTGGTCCTTTATTCAGGATAAAAAGGAATGTACTAGAATTCCAGGAATCATGCAACATGAACAATCTATTTATAACAAGCCAAATGATATTATGAACGCATTTGCGGATTACTTCAGTTCTGTGTATTCAGATGCTTCTGCTAATTGTGATATTGTTGGTGAAAATTCTGGAAATACTCTTTCTTTCATAGGGTGTATTAGAGAAGACAGGATAAAAGTAGCCGCCAGAAAACTTAATAACAAATTGACGGCTGGTCCTGATTTGATTCCAAGCTTCATTGTGAAAGACTGTATTGACACTCTAATCACGCCGCTAAAGCATATATATGATCGCATTCTGAAGACCAGTATTTTTCCTACAAGATGGAAGGTAGCAAAAGTTATTCCAGTGCTCAAGAAGGGAGACTCATCACATATTGGTAATTACAGACCAATTTCCATATTGTCGAATTTCTCTAAATTGTTTGAAATTATACTTTTTAGTAGCATATATCCTAATATCAGAAATAGCGTTGCAATTGAGCAACATGGGTTTATGACTAGGAGATCTTGCACTACATATTTGGCTCAGTTTTCTCAGTTCATATGTGAGGAGTTGGACGGAGCAGGGCAGGTCGACGTTGTATATACATATTTCCAGAAGGCTTTCGATAAGATAAACAATAAACTACTTATAGTTAAAACTAGGAAGCTTTTTGGATTTTCGAATAATTTATCACTGCTCGTGGAGTCCTACTTGAGTAATCGCAGTCAATTCGTACAAATAGAGAATTGCAAATCGAGAAAATTTCGTGTAACTTCGGGAGTGCCGCAGGGATCCAATCTTGGACCTCTACTATTTGTCCTTTTTGTTAACGATCTCTTAGAGATCGTGAAATGCATGAAGGTAGCTTATGCGGACGATATTAAAATTTATAAGAGCGTGTCATCTATGCATAATTGTTTGAGGCTACAAAGTGACCTGAATGATATCAGCCGGTGGTGTAACAATAATTGTTTACATTTGAATGTCATGAAATGTAATGTGGTGAATTTTACTAGGAAGAGAAATGCGATATCTTTCGATTACAACATTGAAGGTGTTAATCTGACTCGACTTCAGGAGGTTAAGGATCTCGTATTAAGGCCTAGTATTTGATCAAAAATTCTCATTCATACCTTATATCAATCAATTAATTTTATCATCTAGCAAAGTTTATGGTTTTATCGTCCGCAATGCTAGATTGTTTTTGAGTTCGTCAACACTGGTCCATTTATTTAATGCCCTAGTGAGAAGCAAACTTGAGTATGGCTGTCTTGTTTGGCGACCAATATATAGTTGTCACATAAACCGCCTGGAGGCACTGCAGAGGAAGTTCTTGAAATGGCTCGCATATAGGGAGGATGGTTTATATCCACCTAGGGGTTGTGATCACGCTTGTTTGCTATCGAGGTTTGACACTAGAAGCCTCCACACCAGGAGAAGTTTGAATGCGTTGAAATTTTTATTCAATTTGCTCAATGATAATCTCGACTGTCCTGAGCTTCTAGGTAAACTTAATTTCTTTGTTCCTCCTAGGTGTACTCGAATAAACCAGACATTTTACTCAAAAAGCCACAGAACAAATCTTTTCTCGCAATCGCCGCTTAGCTTTGTATGTGCTACTGCAAACCAGATATCAAGCTGCTGTGATTTGCACTGGGACTGTACTTAAATCTTAACAGTGAGGTATCTTGATTTCTTTTCAAGGAGTGATTTGTTTTCTATATTATTATTATAACTGAACATTTAGATATTGATATTTTAGATTCAGATCATTATATTTGATAATGTTTTTTATTATTATAATTTTTTTTAATGTTGTATATCTATGTTTTTATTGATATTTTTAGTAACCATATTTATTCATTATGTATTTTCCTGTAATTTGGTAGTTACCTGTTGGAAATATATGCTTATTATTATTATATGCTTATTATTATTATTATTAGCAATCCTCACTCACAAGTGAGTTCACTCACTTTCGCCTGCAGTTCCAAAGACGAGAATCCGAGCATCGAATAACTATCTTGACGAATACAAGGGTTTTTAGATATGAAATGAAGTTGCTTTTCAAAGGGGAGATCTCGGTAGCTTAGCGGTCAAAAGCAGTGGGGTGTAAACCTGAAGACCTGGGTTCGAATCCCAGCCGAGTTCATAAACTTTTAGAGTAAATGGTAATTTTTAATACAAAAGTGGATGTTATATAATGTTATATATATATATATATATATATATATATATATATATATATATATATATATATATATATATATATAATATACTGAGACTCTTAATCGAAATATCGAAATATTTCATTAAAATTCTCAGGGAGCTGTCTACACAATTGTTGTCAACGAGAACGAACCCATCACTTTCAAGAGTGAATATTAAGAGCGTTTCGAAAAGTTCATCGATCTTGTTGAATGATAATAGGATACAATTGTTTCATCATTATTATGAATCATCAGTCCATATTCAATCAATCAATCAAGAATCGATGACTTTCAAAACGAACATAGGTCATATACCAAATTGAGGACAATTTTACCGAGTGAAATATTCACTTAGGCTCCCTCTATCGGAGAAAGGACGTATAAACGCTCCCTGCCGTTCAAGATACCTACTTTTATATATATATATATATATATATATATATATATATATATATATATATATATATATATATATATATATATATATATATATATATATATATATATATATATATATAACAATAATTTAATAAATAAATAAATATATAATCACTACATAGTATAAAGCAAAGTCGCTTTTTCTGTCCCTTTGTCCCTTTGTACGCTTTAATCTTTGAAACTACGCAACGGATTTTGATGCGGTTTTTTTTAATAGATAGAGTGATTCAAGAGGAAGGTTTATATGTATAATAACATCCACTAAATAGTGGAGAAGTACTGTTATTTTTGAGGTTTCTAATGTGATGTCGTAAATAATTACATTTTTTCCGCTTACATTGCAAACGCAGGCTGAACCCTACGAGTTTTATCGAAATAATGTACTAAGTATTGTACACATTGAAAAGGTCTACAGAAAAGTCCGTGATGGTATATGTCTATCTCTTATGGATAACCCACAATAATTTTTTTTGTCATTTACTTTTTGCGACAAATAATGGCTAATTTTCGAAGCGATTTTAACCCATACAGCATTAATCCTTAACCAATTAAATACCTTGAATACATTGTTCATTCAATATAGATATATATGGCCCTTTACACCGTATGATTTAAGTGAATATTTTCGAAGATATTACAGATTTAAAAATTGCGGGGCGTAGCGTTTGCGGCGTGCGAAGCCGGGCGGGTCGCTAGTGTTATATAAGTATAACCCGTTAATAGAAGCAGCCGTTCACACGTGCTTAGAGCTTATTGGCTCTTATCAGAAAGGCTAAGCTTAATTCTGATGAGAACCAACTGCCGCAACATATGAATTCAGAAGTTAATTTTGACTAGGTATTCCAAATTCGCTAATGAATTTTGGATATTGTGATATTGGATATTGATATTGTGGTTTTGTCCCAGGAGTTGTGATGCAAGTACAATCATCTTTTGCTTTCGCCTAGATTATTTTTATAATCTGAAAAACTGGAGATTATATGTAGATGGAAAATTATATGCTAACATATTGCCGCCTTTTACATTGCAGGTCTGAAACGAATGGACTGCTTTTGATGCTGTTTTCTTTGTTCACAAGCTGACATGATCGAGGTGACTAGGATTCTTCATCAAAGAGTTTTGTTTAATGTACAAGTGTTCATTTTTAAACTGAAAATAAATATGTTATCAACCTACATTAGTGATAGAGTTCGATTATTCAAAGATGTACATAATTATAACACGAGATTCAAAACAGACTTCATCCTTTGAAAATGTGACACTACACAAAAGCTGGAATCTATTTTGTATAAAGGTTTATACAAAATTGAATCTAATGGACTTCCTGCACATATAAAAAACTGTGAAAGTATTTAAACGACATTTGAAAACGTTCACCTCGACCAAATGCAATACAGTTTAAAGTCAGTCTAATTCAATTGGGCTTTGTTTCTGCTAGTACTCTAACTCATGTTTATCATGTAATATTAGTTAGGTGCTAAGTATAAGGTTTTTGTTGTTCCACTACATTATGTTATTTATATTGGTACTTTACTTAATTCACAGTATTTCACTTTTTTAATTAACTTTCTATTACTATATTTTGTAATATGATGTAGCAATTCTGCTAAATAAATACATTATTATTATTATTATTACTTTCAGCTATAATTAATAAATATTCAGATCTAATAGTAATCAAATCATTTCCTACTTAACAAAAATGCTTCAAAGTCTGTCACATCTTCCCTTGATTTTTAATGCTTTGTAGTAATAAACTTTCGCATTCGCAATTTTTGTACGGAAGACGAAAATACAAGAGAATTAATGAATTCAGACTGAAATCCGAAAAGTGGGTTGTAGCACTGCCAAATTCTTTGATTATATTAAGAGAATGTATTTTAATTGATTGACTATTAGTCAAGTCATTTGAGGAAAGTTTTAAGGAATTAAATTGAAAATTTTAACTAATCCACTACATAACAAGAAAAACTAAAGAGAGCAGAAAAATCCAATTTTTGGCTTTTCAGCCGTCTTAACTTTATCAATAGAATCAATTGATATGTTTTGACATGAGCATACAAATATAAATGAACATACAATGAGAATACAAATTAAATGAATAGGTTTTGATAATGATGAAGACCAGGTCGACAAAGATCTACTGTATTAAAAATGCATAGTGTAACGACAACGATATCCTTCCTATTTTTCAATTCAAATTACTTTCTCATTTAGCGGCCCCCCAAAGTGGGGACGTCTCTCTAGAAAATATTATTTTTAATTTGAATCTTACTTTTCATTTGAATAGTTTTTTTGTATCCGGAGCATTCAAAGTTTAAAATGTCATTTCGATATGTTCAGATATTTTAAGTCGAATTTTTTTTACAGTTTGTATGAGCTTGGGACATCTCCCCGGCGTAAGATTGTATATTTTCAACTTATTTCGTGGTATCGATTCCTCTTTCGAACCAATGGTCTCTACTGTATTCTCAATTTTAAATTGTAAGTTTTATTTTCGATTTCCCAAAAATTTTAAATTTTGAGCTGAGATTAACACATGTTTATAATTTGAAATTTTTATCTAATCTGTCACTTTGAAGTAGTTGCAGTTACGAAATGGAGTTATCATTCGAAAACATGTGTTTGTATTTGTTCTATAATTTGCGATTCATTTTAATTTTATCTCTTTTCCAATTCACGATTGCTTTTGTGACATATCACAAAAGTCCATTTTTCGATTAGTAAACTGATGTCGTATTTGAAATTGATGAAACCTCATAATTTAGTCGATTTATTTATGCTAGAGTATTACTTGCACCTTCTGGAATATTATTTCTATCCATTTTGTTCAATATAACGCTTATTTCGTGATGTCAGTGGTAATATGCAATTTCCACAATTTCAATAATCTTATCTGAATGTCCTTTTCGAAAATATATCATAATAAGCTTCTAATCGCGTATTGAAAATTGGTCAGCAGTAAATACCAGCTATTTACTAGCTGCACTAGTAAAGTAAACGATGATAGATCGATACATACCGATTATGCCAAAAACGGCATTAATTGTATTACTTCTTATTCAAGGAAATTTTATTCCGACTGGTAAGAAACACTTATTTTAGAAATACATAATTCATTTTGATGGCCATTTATTCTCAAAATTTAGCACTATAAATAAAGCATATTTCGAATCTCAAGTTTAACATATCAACTTGCTCTGCAGAATCCATCTCATTACTCAAAAAAATATATCTATAAAAATTATCTGAGGTAGATCCTCGCTTAACTCTTTGTTAAACAGCATTAAATATTAAATTGAATGAAACACTTGACTTAATGTTTTACGATTATATTCAACAATATTAAATTGCCAACATGTTTCGAGCATGAGCTCATCTTTAAGACTGACAGTTCAGTCTTGAAGATGAGCTCACGCTCGAAACATGTTGACTATTTGATATTGTAAAATATAATCATGAAACATTAAGCCAAGCGTTTGAATTAATTTATTATAAGAAGTATCAATGAATCTATAAAAATGTGTCAAGTGAAGAAATCAATTTTTCACCATGATAATAATTTTTTACGGTATCAATTTAGACACGCAGACGTAAAGATTTAGATTACAACAGAAATTGAAGATATACTAATATTGAAGAAAATTTTTTTTTGCAAATGTTGCAATTACACGTTGTCACAATTTATTTGAATAAATCACACACATATATATATATATATATATATATATATATATATATATCAATACAAATTTCAGCATCATATTACGGACTTTTTCTGCATTTGCAATGAATATTGTATTTGAAATCGGTTTTCTTTTCAACATAAGTGAATATTTTATGACTTATATATTTTATTTATGCTATATATACCTATAATAATACTGTGCTGTTCGAATTAATTGGGACAAAGGATAAAAAACAATGTTTTCGTAAAATCTTACCTTTTAATGAAGTAAATACATACAAAACAGCGTAAATTAGTATGAAGTATGTCCTGCTTTCGCAGAAACAACTTTTTGATCTCGTCTAGGCATCGATTCCTATAGCGTAGCGGAGATTTTCTTCAATTCGTCATCATGAAACCACACCTGAATTGCACTTATAATAATTTTTTTTGTAGTGTAATCCATTTTTGCCAGTCGTTTCTTTGAAATATTCCATAAATTCTCAATGGAATTGAGATCAGGTGAATTCCCCGGCCAATCGAGTACTTTTATTTCATTCTCACGCATGAAGGCCTGCAATTGTTTGGAATTGTGGCAGGGAGCCAGGTTGTGCTGAAATGTTCCATCAAACGTTTCCATGAATGGGACAATCCTGGTCCGCAATATTTCCATATATTTCACTGAATTCATCATCCATGTTATAAGAGCTAATCGTCCAGTGCCATTGGTTCTGAAAAAACCCCAAAACATTTGTTTCGAAGGATGTTTTTCTGTTTGCTGGATGTGATCAGGCCGCAAAGTTTCCCCATCACTTCGTCTAATAACACTTGATTTGTAC